TTCTCCATGAATGTTTCAAAAATATCAAGCTCAACAGTCTGAGTACCGATTGACCAGAGAACACTCTCAGGAAGTGATGGCCACCGGCTGTCTTTTTTGAGTCGTACCTACTGACGATGTCTTTTGATGTCCTCCTTTTCATAGTGTTGTCTGATACCTTATGTATCCAATTGAATACTTACAATCATTACCATGTGCCTTTCCTTTTCCCTTTCCCTCCCTTTCCCACACAGCTTTGCAGCTTATAGCACGGATGTCAAATTGCGATCCGGCCCTTTCATGGCCGCGGTCGCGCCGAAGAAGTGCTTATATCGAAATGGAGATTTATCTCCCTAGCCAGTGAGTACTAGATTTTTGTCCTACGGTTCGCCCGAGGTGTCAAACATCCATTGAAGATCTGGAACATCCCGTATTTATTTGTAGACTTTAATTTTATATGGAATGAATTTATCGTTCTAAATGTGCTTCGTCTTATCGTTTCCCTGTATGAGCATTTGGACTTGGTCTGAGTAGAGATTCAAAGCAACATTGAATGCGCCTAGTGACGTTATAAGAGCAGTAGTAGTCGGCCGCGTGTGCGACCGCAAAACGTCTTTTTTTTGGTATTCTTTTCTTAGATGTTCCCCTTACTGGGGTTGTAGCTAAATAGAACATAGGGGATTAAAACGGGCCTTTCCATGTAAAACATCTGATTTTGAGATGTGCTTAGACTGATGTTGGGATCCGCCAAGGTGACTGCCAGTGGAGATAGGATCGAGTACGCTAAAGCTATACTCGATGCTTGCAAGCATACAAGACCAACCTACGAAGGTCTAGAAGAGCAAGAAACGTAATCCAGTTCTTGCATTTTGTGATATCAAATTCGAGGTGTTTCCACAATGCAATTTTCAATCCAAACCCCATAGTCGCGTCGTGATATCAAAATAACTCCTGTACAGAATGGTATCGAGTTTGATAAATCCCAGGGTTCCCACCGAAAGCCGCGCCCAAATAGTACAATTGAAAAAGAAAAAAAGAACAAGAAAGACAGAATAAGGGGAAAAGAACATAACGCCGTCCTCTCCAATCTCCACGATGCCTGGTCCCTGTACAAAACCCCGGGATTTTCAGAAAAACAAATCAAAAAAAGAACGAGGAAAAAAAAGGCCAAAAGAGACAGTGAGCGGTTGCTAACCAATGACCCACTGCTGTTGGGTAAATGCTCATCATAAATCGACCTCGAACCAGATTTTACACTGGTGAAATTGTAAATGTGGAAAAGCTTCTGCCCTCGTATGTTGCCATGTTATATCGGTGCCAGCAAACAGACTATCCTCAGTTATTCATACCACCCATACTGTGCATCGAGCCCTGCGCTTGCATTTGCTGGGCTTGCAAAGCAGCCCGTTGTTGCTGCTGTTGCTGTCCGCCATCCCGCTCACGTCGCATAACTTCGGAGACCCACGCTTTTGCGGTCTTTTCCAGCCCAGGACCATACTGCTGCGCAATATTTGAAGGGTACTGGTTTGGCGGGCCATATTGAGCCATGTAGCGCGTCGACATATCATGTCGCATGCGAAGCAGTCGTTGTTGGTAGAGCTGAGTGTATCTTTGTGCTTGGTTCATGGGCTGTCCATTCTGACCCATTTGGCCACCATTTGCCTGGGCAGCTGCCAGCAGCATTTGCTGCTGTTGCTGGTTGGTTAACTGCGGATTGCCTTGGTGTGGCTGGGCTTGTTGGCCTTGCATTTGTGGGTGCTGGCCTTGCTGTTGCTGCTTGACTATTTGCATCTGCGCATATTGAGCACGCATGAGCTGAGCCTGGTATGCTTGCTGGCCTTGTTGAGTGATTTTAGGAACGCCTTGATGGTTTTGTTGCTGTTGCTGCTGCTGTTGCTGTTGCTGTTGCTGTTGCTGCTGTTGCTGCTGCTGCTGCTGCTGCTGCTGCTGCTGTAGCATTTGGTGTTGATGAGATTGGATATTTTGTTGAGCGTGGGCATTGGCTTGCAGTTGGGCTAGCTGTTGTGGCGTGAACTGATTGTGCTGGATATGTCCTTGTTGTTGCGCTTGAAGAAGCGCTTGCTGTCGGTGTTGTAGCATCATCTGCTGTTGTGGTGTGAAAGACATGCCCCCGTTCATTTGCGGCGTGGCTGCCAAGCCCTGATTCATCACCGGGGTCTGACCCATCGAGTGAGTTGGACTGCCATGACCCATCCGCTGAGTTGGCGTGACGTTACGCATGATTGGAGTGGCATGCGACATAGCTGGTGTGCCCTGGGTCATCTGCGGAGTCCCATGTCGGCTTGGTCCTTGCTGACTTCTCGAAGGTGCCATCGGGTGGCTCATGACATTCGGGTGCGCATGCTGTAAAGCAGATGGAGGTCGCGGTGGACTGCCAGACCCAGATGCGGTCATGGTCATTGGAACCGCCTGCGGCATAATGTTACCAACCAGTGGCGATGAAGTGGCATGTGGGGTCTGGTTACGTACAACAGGCGAAGACTGCTGGCCTTGGCTGATGCCATTTGGCTGAGCCATAATGTGACGATTTTGCTGTTGCGCGGCGAGTTGGGCCTGTGCCTGCTGGGCAGCAAGCTGTTGTCTCCGCGATTCCTCTTTCGCGTGTTCCTCGGCTTGCCGCTGCTCGATCGCACGGCGCCGCTCTCTCTCCTGCTCCTGCTGCTGGCGCTTGGCCAACTCCTGCTTCAGCTTCATTTCGTGTTCACGTTTAGCTTTCTCCTCGTGTTGCATGCGAATGGTTTCAAGTGTCTTGAAACGAGAGAATCGGGGCTCAAATGGTGCCACACCACCGGCGTCATCCACGGCAGCAGCCTTCGCAGCACCACCAGGACCAGAAGCCGTGGGCTCCAGACGCTCGTCCATTATTAGCATGAATCTCTCCTCTTCGGCTGCCAAAGCTTCGTCCGCGGCAAGTTCGGCAACGGTTCTCTTTCGGCGCTTGGGCAAGGGTGGCGGGTCGCAATGCAGTGGGCTTTCTAGATGCTTAAACAGCTCCTGGACAGCTTCTATACTGTGCACAGGATCCAAGAAGAGAGGAGGTGCCAAGGCCTGTGTCATTTTGGATTCGCATTCCAAAAGATCCTCCGGTTCAACCAGCATTTTCTGTCTCTTTGCGATGTGACTGCGATCTGGTTGACTGCCTCCCGGGGTAGCGGAAGAACTAGAGCTTGATTGAGCTGGTGCTTTGTTGGCTCTCGGGTCGGGGGTGGTGACCAGCAGCGTCAACTCTGCCTGCAAAGTTCGGGCAGTGGGATGGAGTACTGTGGTGAATACTCGAGGCTTCATAGGAGCATTTTTCTGAGTTACGTTGCTGATTTTGTCGTCCGTCTGCTCACCAATCGCCAGGCCATCTGTCTGTTGATTAGCAATCGGTGTCCCATCGACCTTAGTGCCTTGTGTAGCCGATGTGAGCTGATTTTGCTTTGGGTATGGGACAAAAGCCGATGGGGTGATATGCTCGTTATAGTTGTGTAGAGAGAATGGTGTGTTATTCTCGTTGGATGAGGTAGTAGATGCTTTTCTTGCTTGCGCCGAAGCAGATTTGTGATCGATGACACGGACGATGAGGCAACCTAACATTGTTAGCAGGGGGTAATCCGACTACCTGTCAAAACCGATAATTACCTTCATAGAACTGCACACCGCCTCGCAGAAGCTCCTCAATCAGATCATGCGGAACTGTCCCGGCACGAATGTGCTCGATGATGACCTTCATCTCGGAGTTGTAAGGGAAGCTACCATCTTGCTGTTCAAATCGGAAATGTGTAGGATGTAAATGCACAATGAGGGATGGGGGGCATTTCGAATATTTCTTGAGGATATAGGATGTAGTTTTCACTATGAGATGAAAGTCAGTGATCGCGCATTGGCATTGCGAATGTCATGGAACTCCTTACCATATGGTTCTGGTGCTTTTTTCCCAACTCGGTGTGCCTGATCTGTTGCAGCGGTCCTCGTTACTGGCCGGCCAGAGCGCGAGGACTGATCCACAGGTCTTTGCGACTGATTCCTGGTCCGATTAAGGGGGCCTTTAGTCGTGGAACTCGCCACATGGGCCACACCATTTGTGAAATTGGAAGTTGCGTTGACGGAGGCTCCCGGAGGAAGACGTTTTGCAGCGGATGTGGGCGAAGACGAGAGGTGCTGGCCCTTGATTCCGTTGACCGCGGCCTGGCCGAAAGGCGGGGGCGGCCGCTTCATCTTCTGGGTATGGGAGGCCGGCTTGGAAATTGCGGTCGCCATCATGTCTGCGCCGGTTGCGCAACCTCGGCGTGGCCAGTGAGTTAAGAATGCGACTTATCGGAATGCCGGATTGATGATGTTGAATGAAAGCCGTGCTCGGGAAATGAGTGAGATGGCCGATGCGCGAGACATGTGGGGATAGGTAGGGCGACACCGGTCCCCAGCACAGCTGGAATCAATGCGGAAAATTGGCGGAGGCTGACCGAGTGGGATTAAAGAATGAAAGAAAGAAAGCACCCGTCCAATAACGCTGCTGGAAAGGGATGAATCGGAGAAGCCGCTGGACGAGGTCTTGCAGAGGTAGGTCAACTGATGATGCCAAGCCGTGGGTCAACGTGAAGTCAGTCACATGACCCATTCCGAATCGGGCCTAGTGAATAGCTGGAACAATGAGATATAACAATGGCAATGCAGACCAGTTCAATATTCAATACACGTGTAGATGAATCAATGCCTGAATGGCTTTAATATACTACTGCCTAAAACATACCACGTTAGGCCCAGTGTTCTGTACATATCAGAACTAAGTGAGCCAATTCTGAGAGTTATCTACGTGATAAATAGGCGCAACTTGCGGCAAAAAAAGGTATAAATTATTCTGTCAAAAGTGAATTGTATCAAATAATAGCAAGAAATCCGGAAAAAACAGGGGAATAGGGTCAATCAGTCATAAGGATGTGAAAAAAAAAAAGACAGGTATCGACATGCAAGCAAACAAATATCAACATCAAAATCATGGGGCCACAACTTGATCCGACCTAGTCCAGACCACGAACCCGTCGGCGCCAGTCATCTCCGACTCGGACAACATCAACCACGTCAATGCGCTTACCGAGTCCTGTGACGCCCTCCTTTTTCCACCACTTCTCTTCCTTTTCGCCAAGTGCTGACTCGTCGTCACTGTCGATAAGCCCGCCACGGCCACCCTCGTCTCCGACCACGACGATGACCTGGCGAACCCACCCAGAGATGTGGATGGCGGGTTCACCTTGGTCTCCAGTCAAAGACTCTTGGACATAAACAAGCTCTGGGAATAGGTGGCGAGCGAGGTGCACATAGCCACCAGGGGTACTGAAAGGCATGATCATGCTGTCCTTCTCAACAAGCGCTTGTGCCTGTGTGTATAACGTTTTGAAGAAGCGAGAAGTGCCTTCCAATTCGTCGTCCTGACGGGGCTCGACCGCAGTCAAGTCACCAGAGGCCAGCTCCGCGACAGAAGCTCCTTCTTCGGTACCAATGTTAGAATAAGACGAAGCCATAGATGGTGAGGTGGGAGATGAGCCCCCCTTCTTGATGGCGTGTTTCAATTCCGGGGCATAGATTAACACAAAGATCTTGGAGGTTTCCAGATCGACATGTTCAGGGAGATGGGATAAAATGGACTGCGATTGTCAGAAAAGCCTAAAGTGGGTATCGAGGGCGACAACTTACCGCATGTTCAGAAGAGAATTCGTCAGAGTCATCCGATGAAACCGAGGAGACGACAATTGCGACGATCTTCTTGTCCTTGGCAGCAGTATTTGCTGGGCGGCTCGGCAATCCACCACTCATAGTCGGCGCAATAGCGCCCTGTTGGCTTCTCTCGTGAGCTCTGGTTTGAGCCTCCTCCGACCATCTGGAGTGGTCCTCGTAGTCGCCCTCACCTTTGTTATCTTCACGAATAGAGGTAAGAGCGCCACCGACAAATGCTCCTGCGGCAGTGACACCGGCCACAACTCTTTTGCTGGCGCCATCGAAGATCTGTTGAGGGCTAGGCGTGCGTCGCAAAGCACCTTGCATGCGAGCCATCATACCATGATCATAGGAAGCATCTCCAGGCAGGGCTTCCGCTCCTGCGCTTCGGGCATAATCTCCGGTAGCATAGGAAGGTGGGTAGTCACCTCCGGGTCCAACAGGAGGCGGGTGAGGGTGGCCATCTCCGTGGGGGCGGTCGTCTTCGTCTTCGTCGTCATTTCGTTCACTCCAAATCCAAGCTGCAATACTAATAGTTGCAATTCCAGCAGTCAAGGCCAAGGGGAGCCAGTATCCAATGGCGGATCGTCCACCGGTTGAGCTGAACCCAGTGCCGGCTCCGCCGCGGCGGCGCCGAGGGTCTTGAGGGAAGGACATTGCGATCGCGGGTATTCAATTAGAGGTGGCACATTTAACGGTCATTAATGGCGGTCGCAATGACTCGCAGGTTGCATTTCACACGTCGATTTGCAAAATAGGAGGTTGGGGAAAGGGGAACGAGGGAAAGGAGGCAGACGTCTCCCCTCGGATGCTAGAAACATGTGGCTGGTGATTACCGCGGGTGTTTACTTGTGTTTGTCCTGTTTGCGTCCTGCTAAATCTGGAGGCGGGTCAGCATCACGTGTTATCTCCCACTAGGATTATGTAAGTGGTTTTTCTGACTCCTCCGAAGCAGGGCTTATCGGTTTTAGAGAAATATACGACTAGGTGTGAGGACTCGCAAGCGCATTGTTGGTTCAAATCATGCCTCATCCAGTATCTGTGCCACCAACGGGCCTGCAGGCCCTAATTCTCGTGAGCAGCCAACTTCCATAGATATGTCTTGAAACAAAAGCTAACAAGCAAATAAGTGTGGCCCTGGTGTATCGCTCAACACATTCACTTCGAACCCCGAGGAATACCCAAAATGTCTTATCCCTGTGGCCAACCGTCCGATGCTCTGGTACGCCCTAGACTGGTCGAAAAGAATGGGCATCACCGGTAAGCGCATTCCCACCGTCGAAATAGCATGCGGGGCATCCCATGACGCCATGTGCTCTATCGCAAAGCATCGGATGGAAGACTGACTATACTAGATGTCACTTTGGTCACTCCTCCCTCCTCACTCGCTCCCCTCCAGGCGGCTCTACGACAGAACCCACATCTTACCTCACTCCCTTCGCCATCAGTCATCGCACCGGCGGAACTCGAGATGACGACAGGCACAGCGGAGCTGCTCCGTCTGCCCGAGGTGCAGACTTGTATCAAATCAGACTTCCTTCTCTTGCCTTGTGATCTAGTTTGCGAAATACCCGGAGAGTCTCTGCTGGAAGCATGGATGGTGTCTGGCGGCGAGAAAAACCGTCGGAATGGACTCAGCATGTACTATCAGACACAGGGTCGAGAGGAGAGTGTCAAGGGCGAAGCTGCAGACTTTGTGGCAGTTGCACCACTTGAGCAGAACGAGGCTCCCACCGTGTCTCATACTGCGCTTCGTTCCTCGCTCTCCAAGCTAGTCCTCTCTATGCCCATGGCCACATTGAAAGAGAAATTGGAAAATGACAAGGGCTTCCTTGTGCGCCATTCCCTGGTGGATACGCACGCGCAGGTGAAGTTGCTGACGACATACCGTGATGCGCATATCTACGTCCTACCTTACTGGGTCAAGGACATGGCTCGTTTGAATGAGCAATTCCAGTCGGTCGGTGAAGACTTGGTTGGATGGTGGGCCAAATCAGAATGGCAGCAAGGCCTCAGTGAGAAGCTGAAGATCAACGAAATCTTCCAGCAGAAAAGCCGTCGCCAGAGCCACGGGCTCACTCTAGGTGAGAGTGAAAGCCACGACGGCGAATCCCTCGATGGTGAATCACTGGAGGAGGAGATTGATCTGCAAAGCATGAGCACCACCAAAGCCACCCCAGCCAAGTTCAGAACAGCCTCATCAGACCCCCAATTCGCCTCTCGTGTCAAGGCTCCCACCTCGCACACCGTCAAGAGTCCCAAGTCAAATCTACCACCGATGCTTGCTTACGTCCAAAAGGGCACAGCGCCTTTTGTTCGACGGGTTGATTCATCCGCCGTCCTTCTCTCTACCTCTCTCCGTCTTGCTAAGCTGGAATCTATCGAAGAGGTTGGCCGTGCTGCTTCGTCGGCATTCGCGCACGCCTCCAAAGTGGCTAACACAGCTAGCATCGCACAGCGTTGTACCGTCACGAGGAACGACTGCCTAGTGGATAATAACACGACGATTGAGGAGAAGTGTGTGATCAAGGAGACCATCATCGGTGCCAATTGCCATATCGCCAGCGGTGCTCGGTTGACTCGTTGTTTGATTATGGACGGTGCTGTTGTTGGCGAGCGCTGTCAATTAACAGGTACCATTGTGGGACGCCGCAGTAAGATCGGCCGGGAAACTGTGCTGAAGGATTGCGAGGTTCAAGACGGAAACGTCGTTCCTGATGACACCGATGCCAAAAACGAAAAGTTCATGATCTTTGAGGGTATTGACGATGAAGATGATATGGATGGTTCGGAAGATGACCAAGATTATTGATTCGAGGTATATTTATCTTGGCTAAATGTTTATGAGATAAGGTCCATGAGATCAAGGAGATCAAAAAAATAGAATTTTATACCCCTGCATCCACCAAGTTACGGAAAGTTGAACGTTGAAAGCCTGACATCTGAGGCAGAGATGCACTCTCAAAAGACACTAGAAATTACACGACAATATCAGGCGTGATTCGAGCAAGATAGGCTAAGAGGCTCATAAATACCACAGTAGAACGCCATGTGTAATACCAATGGTCAATCCGCTCCACCTCGTGCTTCCCCGGATGCATACTAAAATTTGGTTACTTACGCCAACGCCATGCTGGCGCAAGCACGGGACCTTTTGGGACGTTAACTTGGCAGTGGGGATATTAGTACATTGGCACACTGCATGAACTACCCTCCCCACGAATGAACAGTTTCGAATGCCTTTCTCTGGGACTCGTTGCATCCACCCATCAGACATCAGGCCATAGCGTGTGGATTCGGGGTTTGGACGGGATGTCAAAGGCATCGTATGGATACTGCCCGAGAAAGAAAGACTCGAGTGATTATCGATTATCGGATAATGAGGTCCAGGGGGGAAATTTGTGTCTTTCTCCGCACTTCTTTTGCGACGGTGGCCCTTGGCCTGTGCCCGATTCTCTGCCCCTGATCAGCCACATAACACCGTGCATGTTATTGAGGGTTGGCCCCGTTATTGAATAGGAGATTAGATTTCCGCGCACAGAGCCCTAGGGGTAAATGAAAACGGGGGGGAGGGAGGGGGGCCGTCAGGATGCTTAATCCTCATTGATTTACGGTATTAGACGTGGCCCCTTCCCCTCAGTATGCAAATTAAAATGCACGCTACTCCGTACATAATTCCAAGCTCGGGAAAGGTCGGTACCAACTTATATGGAGAAGGTACAAGTGTGTGAAGTACGGAGTATGTTTTACAGAGTTGATAAACAGTCTAAACGATTCGAGTGGGAAGAAAGTGTATGCTGATCACGCGGGAAGTTGTCTTGTATGTGGATCGACGGATTGAGTGGTTTGCAGCAAGTGGGGAGGGAAAGCGGGACAATTTTTTTGACGCGGAGATTTCGGATTGTATGAAGGTACAAGACAGATAAGAGTTTTACAAAGCACATTATCGTACCCTATACGGAATACAGAGTACGCTGTAAACACACAGCATATTCCAAGGTTACAGGTATCTTTAGATTTGCCAAAGGACTTGTAGATTCAGCTCTGGAGTGGCGCTAGACCAATAAGCTGAATTGCGCATGACACAAAGTCCGTCAAAATAGTTGAGGACATTCTAGCGAGGGCTTCGTCATTGTACATTTACCGGTGAGAGTTTGAAAGCTTATTGGAACTAGCTGTATGGAGTATGTTGTAAGGTAGGATATATATATACGAAGTACGGAGTACGGAGTGAACATTGAATCATACGAAAATAGATTAAGTTCTACTAAATTTTCACTCAGAGCCATAGATATGATCACGCCATGATATACGGAGTACTCGGGAAAGAACTAGAAATGCAGCCTTATTATGGTGTGTGACATTGAACAATGTCTCAGATGTTTCCCCTTAGGTAGTATGGGATAATATATAAAACCGATCCAAAACGATATAAAACGATTTGACTCGATATGACTCGTGAGAGATTAGGTTGAGTGGACCATCACAACCATGGAAACAGCTCGGAATTTCCTAAAGTTCGGAGCTGTTTAAGCGGGGAGGTTCTCTTCTTCTTCTTCTTCCCTTTTTTTTTTTTTTTTGGTTTGTGTAATTGTCGGATTAGGGCTCTAATAGTGTAGATAACTATATAAAAGAAAAGTACAGACTAAAGTATAGATTAATAAGTACCGTATACGTACTTTTTCAAGCAGACGTTTCCAACATGTGGATTCGAAGGAAAAAGATAGCGTCACACTTAGCTTAGTGCAGGCGCAAATCGCGGGACGCGGTGCCAGGCCGATCGGATCCCCCCCCCAGCTATCCTATCTAGGTAGCTCGCTAATTCCTTCGCCCACGTTCTCTGCAGAAGGTTCAATGTTGCCTTGCGTCAGTTTTTAGTTTGACAGGGACATTTTTGTGATAAGGTACTGGGTTACATAGTACTCCGTACAGCACAACTAATTAGTATGGAATAAGTGTACACGGAGTTCTCTGTACTCCGTACAAGATATTTTAGTTTTAGTTTTAAATAATATGGAATATTTTGGCTTAAAATGGAATGAGTGGCTATGTTGTATGGGAGATGTCTAAGAATATCCAGATGGAGCATTAAGGGGAGACCTATGATTGGCACATAAATTTGGAGGTCGGGCCCCCTTTTATGAACGGCCTCAGGAGGTGAAATCAATGCACAAGTACTGAATATTCGAAGTGGAAGTAAGAGTTTAGATGGAGTCGTATAGTATATAATGAAAGTAAACAATAAATAGTAATTAGTAAATAGTACATATGTAGAGTACAACATAGATAATAGATTTGTAAGTCGATAATACATTAATGTTGTACTCCTGTATCATGCAAAGAGACGCATAAGCATAATTAGTTCAGAAATGACAAGTATTCTCTTTTCTTTTTTTTTTTCTTTCTGTCTAGATTTGATTTATATTTGACTTGAATATTTTATTCATTCACTATTTTGATTCAATATTTCACTACAGAGTATTTGATTGAGTATTCAAATTCGATTCCATTGAATTTCACTGGAGTACTGGAGCACTGGAGCACTGGAGTACTTCCCGGACCTAATCTACCCCGTGTCTACCGTCTACCGTGAATCTCCCCCCTTCCTATTTTCCCTTCCTCTCATCTTCTCCCCTTCTCCTTCTTTTCCCACTGAA